TGCAAACTGACTCCTAAACCAACAGCCTGCCTGGAAGGCTTCAGCTGCAGATTAAGCAAGGCATGAAACCTCACTCACATAGAACATACTTTAAAAAAATGGCATTCAATCTTCTTTTTCTTTTTTTTTTCCTCTAGTTTAAACAGAAGGGACATTCAAGTCTTGAAACAATACTGAAACAGTAGCAAATCCGCTGACTTTGCCTGTATGCTCCCAAAGGTCTGCTAAAAACATTTTACAGAATGTTCTCTCAGAGAGAAAAGGAACTCTATAGCATGGTGCTTCCTGCAGCACCCTGTTCACTGTTTTGTGGTTTAATCAAAAGGGGGAAAAAAAAAGGACAGCAAATGTGGTGGGTACTCACAGCTGTACAGAAAGGCTGTAAAACAATATTTCTGGGTATAACTACTGAATGCATATGTATGTTACTGCCTAATTCAACAAGTCCTTAGTGAGAACAGAAGGTAAAATTTGGTGCAATTTAAAGTGCGAAACCATGGTTTGATCTACAGAAGTAGCTCTAAAATCAAGGCTCAGTGACAGACTCATAGGTGGAACAGACTCATAGGTTTCTCACTCTAGAGCAAAGAGTCACTAAGTATGAGACACCATTGACAGAGATCCTGCATATATGCATGTGTATAAATAGACAATTGCTTTCTTTCACATTTAGAGTTTTAATTCTGAAAGTTTCCACAAAGCAAAAAGCTAGCAAATGCACCTAATGTTTAAAGCAGAGGATTTGTGTAAGCACCAGAATGACTTAACTGATGATTACACTCAGACAGATGAACTTTAAATCATCAGACTCCTGACTATGAAAACTCTTACCTTTATGTCTGGATCTGACAGCTGATGCTTCAACAACTCAAAATCTGTGGTATCACCCTAGCAAGAGAAACAAAAATATTCAATTTTTTTCCAGCAAAATATACCCATTTCATCAACATATTTGAACAACCTATTATTGATGAACATTAAGAACACAATTAAGAACATTATGTGCATTAAGAACACAAGCAAGGGAGAGACAGCTCAAGGAAAGCTGAGGCAGCAGTAACAGGGTGCTGAAAGACACCCGAGGGTTGGCTCACGTTCAGCTGCTCTCCCTGCAGACACAGCCGGGATCCCCGCGCACCCTTTGGCATAAGCCCGGCTTCACACCCACCCAGGCTGACTCACGGGGGAAATCTTTCCACCGCGTTCAGTTTTACTCCCTAAGCCTTCACACACGGTGTCGGGCAAGGCGAAACGAGTCTTCGCCCTGAATGACCCCCTTCCCCCCAGGACCCAGCGCGGGCAGCCCGGACACAAGGGAGGCACCCGCGGAGCCGCACTCACTCACCTTCTCGTACTTGAGCAGGATCTCGGTGAGGGTCCCCCCGAACCGCACCGTCTTCCTGGGCGGGGAGCTGATGAACTCGTCCCCTCCCAGCATGGCCACGGCCCCGCGCCTGCGGGACGGGGAACGGCGTGAGCACCGCCCGCACCCCCCGGCCCCTCCTCAGCAGGAGCAGCCCCTCGCCCCGCTCCCGAGGGTCTCCCCCCCGGTGTCCCCCTTGCCTTGCGGTGGCACCGCGCCCGCCGCTACCGGGGCCCGGGGCGGCGCGCCCCGCGCCGCCCGCGCCGCTGCCCGCCCCGCCACATGCCGCTGCCGGGCGGAAAAGGCAGCGCGGGGCGGCGGAAACGCCGAGCGCTCCGCCCCTCGCACCACCGAGAGCCGGGACACGGAGCGGCTCCACAGAGAGCCGGGACACCGAGCGGCTCCACCGAGCGGCGGGAGGGAGCGCCGGGATGGGGCGGCTGCGGCTCTGGCCCCGCCCGCTGTGGTGCGGGAGGACCGAGCGAGCCGGGTCATTAACTAACACAAGGGTGAACCCAAATACATGTCTTGCCTTTTACATAACTGCTCGCTTGCTGAATTTTACATCTTGCATCCACAACTTGCTTCCTGTTTGTCACCCTGAAGTTGTATCCCAGCTGCTCTTTATAAGCCTCAAGCGCCGAGTTAAAGGAGTCTATGTGCATTTGCAGACGCACGTTAAACTCTTGCAAATCTCTGCTGTCTGCTACCAGCTGCCTCCTCTTGCCAGTGTCGAGGTCAACATCTGGGGAGGTCTACATCTGTCCATCTGGGGAGCACCTCTTTTGAAGTGCCTCCTTTCCCGGGTGTCCGAGCGAGGGGACGCTGCCCCGGCTGGAAGAGCTGAGCGGGTCCGGAGCGGGCTCTTCTCGCCCGGTGCGCGGGGATGGAGCCGGGCAGGAGCAGCGGGGAGCTCCACGGACAGCACCGTGGGAGCAGACCCCAGCACAGGGAGTAGGGAAGCGGAATTCCAGGTTTATCCACATCGCCACGGCGGAGCGATCCGAAGCCGAGTTTTGGCACAAGCAAGCAATTCCCGGTCCCGTGGGCAGCTCTCCCCGAGCGATGACAGCAGAGGTGACACGAAGGGCACGGCCGGCCAGGACATGCAGGGTTTCCAAAACCTAGCACTGCAGTTCGGAAGGATAAACTAAACGATTCGAACAACTTTAGCTGAGACTAAAGAAGGCCAAGAATCTGGTCTAAACAAAACGGAATTTGACCTTGGGAAGCGTTTATGCATTTGCTAGAACAGAGGCATAGGAACTTTAAGCGAGATTTCTGGATGCTTTCATCCTCTCCTTGTAGGCCAGGTCTGTTTGCCTCTCAAAGCATTGTATACACACACACACAAGTACTACTGTTAGAGTCACCTGGGTAAGTATGAACAGGGACATGCATCTCCTGTTTAGTTCTTCAGTAACACCCAATCTCCTCAAAATTTGCCTTGGTTGAATACATAACATTTACTTCACCAATTCACACAAACTAGTTCCAGCAACATGTGACATTATTTGACCTTAGCCCTCTCAATCAGCTAAACACTTTGGCTTATTCTCTACACAAACTGCTCCTCTAATAATTACCTCCCTTCCAGCAACTCTCACTCCCAAAAGTCACAAACAGATTTTTGTAGGCGTTCATAATAATATAATCTCTCCTTGGTGAAGGTGTTCCCATTTAAGTAGACAATATTACCACATGAAAACTTTCTTTAGGTGCAGTCCACATTTAAAGAGTTTAATAAGCATTTACTCCATCCACATAGTTAGAAGTTGGGGGTTGGTGTTTTTCCTTTAGTGGAGTACAGGATGCCATTTTGAGCTGGTTTTAAGGCTTAACCAGATACAAAAGACTTGTGTTCACACTCCAGGAAATGGAATTTGGTTCTTTGTCATTTTGGCCGTGTTTTTAAACAGAATGCAGAGGACTGTCCTTAAAGTCTAACTGAATTCTAGCTTTAGCTCTACAACTCTGTGTTTACACAACAGCAAGCAGTTCTATACATGTACAAGAACTTCTTTCCAGTCAAAAATGTAAAAGTTCTTTGAATGGACTTTGTGCTGCTTTCAGCTACAGCTGATAAGGATATCATGAGACTAAAATAGTGTTAAATAATTGTTAATGTTTAACTGCTAATAATTCCATGCCAATTCTATTTAGTATTAACCTTCCTTGTTTAGAAGGCAAATTGATCTCATGAAACAGTGACTGGTTTACATTTTCAAAAACAAAATAGTTACAATACTTACAATAGGTATTGTTGCTCCACAGCAAGTATTTTCTGTCTCATTGTTTAGACACACAGTCCTGGTAACATTCTGGTGCTTCTTTATGCTACACAGCCTCCTTAACTGACAGATCAGCTCCTGTATTTCATTTTTAAAGTATACATACTGTTCATACTACAAAAAGTTTGGACTCTACACAATTTTTGAGTGAATTTGCAACAGCATTCTGGCTACCATCTTATGCAGCAATCATTAAGTATAGGTACTCGATTTAAGATTAATTACATTGTACCCTACAGTGAATGCAAAGCCCTGCTCAGTTCACTCTGATAATTATGATTGCAACACCCAAACAGAAAAATTTTGGTTTCCATCAGACTAAGTATGTGAATGGCTACACACAAAAGGTTTGGCTTAATTTATAGCTGCTACTAATCATTCCACTTATTAAATACTGTATCTCATAATTCACTTTACAAGTGAAATTCTAGGCAATCAGAAAAAGCAGCTATCTCTGTTCAGAACAATGAAATGAAAGAAAAGTCTTGCAAGTGAAAACTGATCTACAAGTTTTAAGGGAGGAGCTTTTTTGGTTTCTTTGTTTGTTTGTTTGTTTGTTTTAATCAGACCATTGTGGCACCACAATGATGTCACATTGCAGTTCCATTAAAAGGAGGAAACAAGTGCATACACCTCCTAGAAACTGAAGTTAATAAAGAAGAAATCACATAATAGACTTTCAAATTTAGTGTTCTTCTTAACTTGTTAAAAGACTGAGAGCATTTGGAAAACTTTTAAGAAGAGAATATGCATAGAAAAGAAGTTACTTCTGTAATTTACAAGAAAACATTGAAAGACATTTCAAGAGTTCACCAGGAAATACAGCCACAGTGTTCTTAGTAAATATTTTCCTTAATTCCACCTTGAGTATTCAGTAAGGTGTGGCATAAAATCAATTGCACATTGAAATTTTAAGACCTACCAGTATTTGCTGGTGGTGGACTCAGACTCTTAGTTCAAAAGCAGAGGAACTCATGAGGAATTTCTCCATACAAGAATTTTAGGTATCATTAACATAAGTCTTTTTTCCAGATACTGTTTGTTAATATTTTATAAAACCTCAGAGTATTTGTTAATCAAGAGAGTTTCTTTTAGTCTTGTCCCTTCCTCCAAATGCTTCAGCATTAGGAAAATAACTCCCAACACCACTGGACTAAAAATGCCTTTTGCAAGAGTCATCAAATGACATCACCTACAACCACAAAGACTGTACTGGTGCGCCAGTATCGCTGATTTTACTTGTCTAATTCTAAAATCTCAAATTCCAGGTTGTTTCAAAATAACAATGAAACTTAACAAGAGACACTGTAAATTGTGTATTTACACTATAAACAACTTCTACTGCATTTGCAGCTTTGCATCAATAGTTTAATACAGGTATTTTAAAAGCACCCTTACAAACAAAAGTATTGCACTGGCATTATAAAAATTCACAGTAAGTTTAACTTCCAGACTTTGGTAAAACAGTGCAAGAGCTTTTCATTGTGCAAGAGCTTTTTATCCAAACCTTCCAGGGTTTTAAAAATAATAATAGTTAAAACCCACAACTATATGACAAGCTGCAGAGATTTTTCTGGGAACTGGGATCAGTTCTCTTTTAGTTCTCACTTCTTAAAGAGATTTTGTGTTGGTTTTTTTCCCACCATTTCAAAGCATATCCAGTCCAACACTGAAATAGGTGTATTTGGCAGAGATATGACTCCATGTGTCCATTTTATGCAGAGTCCACAGTGCTCGCAGAGATTATTCCACAGTGAGAGAATCCTACTGCTTTGAGCAGGGAATTCTCTTTCCACAATTTGCAGCACTTCCTCTGCTTTTTGAGGCAGTAACTTCAATAGGCATGTCTTCAACAGGTCCTGAAGATAATACAGTAAGAAAAGTTTACTCAAAAACATTCTTAACACAGATGGTCATATAAAACTCTAAAGTGTTATGTGACATCAATCTTAGAAGTACTTTTCCTCATGTTTAACAGCCAATTGGGACCCAAATGAAAGATCCAGCAAGTCAACAGCCCATCTCCAATAGTGTCTGAATCTCTTTTCAGGCTCAAGGAACTTGTTGTTCCTTTAATATCTTCAGAATTCTCACACCCTTCTCATTCATTTTTACTGTATAATTTTTAAGATGGGACATTGGAACAGCAGGCAATATTCCATTACTAACTTCCAAGAGTTACTAATGGAAGCTTTTCTAATGGCCAGTACACTGAGGGGTTTTTTGTTTGTTTGTTTGGGATTTTTTTTGCACGTGTGTGTGGTGGTGGTGTTTCTTCCTTCCTCTCTCCTGACAATATCTGCCCAAACACGTTTAACCCGTTTGGTTAAGTTCATAAATATCTCCAGATGGGGAGATATTTATCAGTAAGGAATGATCTGATTCAGACAGCTGTTTGTGAGAAGATATAAAGTACTTCAGATAAACTTCAAAAAGGAACTCTCAGTTCTCTTTGGAGGTGCCACCATTTGTTACCCTTTATTCTACCTTGAAAGTAAAATCATAGTTTTATGTTACAATGTGTAACATAACTCTTATACACTCCCTCTGTTTTGGTTCCTTCTGAATTACCATTACTAATGCAATTGTACAGAAGTTCATTTCCTGTAACATTAGAAGCTGCTGTTTACTTGGGATAACTTGTACTAAAGCACTATACAGGAAATAACAAACCTCACTGGAATCAGGAATAAGACTTGAAATATTTAAAAATAATGGACAAGTCTCACTACTAGAAGTTCATTACAACAAAATGCACATCTATGTATGCATATTGAAAGCAGGGCCATCTACAGAGGCCATCTACAGCAGATTATCTACTGATCTCAAGACCTGCAATTGCCATGATCTTTATGTGGAAAAGGTCATTTATAAATGTAATTTCTTGCCAGCAAATATGGATCTCTATCTGTCAATCCTAGACCCATTCCAAAAAAAAGAAAGTCTGAAAAGAGAATGACTGGTTTTCAACAGCCCGTTTTCTAATTGCAGATGTAGTTAATAATAAACTAGTGAGCAGTAACAAATCTTTGAAAGTTGAATTGCTGCTGTTCTTTTCTGCCTCCTACAAGTTTTCTATTAAGCAATACTTATCTATGCTCAATCTCCTTACTGTTAAAACTTCCTCTCAAGAAAAATGTTGTGGCTTTCATGAAAGAAGACCATTTCCAAATGAACTTTTCTGTACCAACAGTAGCTTCAGAATTTAGTTTCAAGGAGCTGCAGAAAAAGCTAATCTTGTACACAGTGAATCAGAACAGCCAAGTTGTTCAGAATCCTTGAACACAGTGCAAAACTGTTTTTACAGTTCCTTCAACGAAGGATTTTACACAGTGAAGTGAAAGTTAGACTTTTTTTCTCACATGCTTTTTCAAGGCATGCTTCTCTTCCTAAATGAACATGCCATGTAAATGAACAAACAGGGAGATTTTGAAAGGCTTGATGATCTTCAGCTGGGCTTTAAAATGGGACCTAGGCACTTTCTTTGCACATTGGATATTACTGCATCTTTTCCAGATGACTGAGGTTCAAGACAAGTAGTTTAACTAATGACTGCATTTACGAGCGTCAATCTATTAGCTAGAACTCTGCCCCCAAGTTAAACGTAAGTCAGCATTTCACCTTTCTTCTTGTTCTCTTAGAAAGCTCCCTCATGGTGCTCAAGAGGGAGCTTCCCCTCACAAGAGCTCATGGGGGTAGTGGTTGATGGCTGTTTCATTACGCACCACTTCTGGCAGCATTCAGTGACTGTCAGGACCAGTTCAGCACCAGTTCAGGACCAGGGGGTTTCTGTGCTGCATCGGACATAAAGCTCATCACGCTCACTGGGCTTTACTCCAGCTCCTCTTTCCCGTTCTTAGACGGCCACAGGAAGTGTCTTCCCTCCCTGATCACATTCGGGCCACCCTTCTCTCTCAGTTTCTATTACCGCTTGAGCTGAGAAAGATTCCCCACTACTTTCATTTTAAGAAGCACCAGCTGCCAGCAGGTGGTTTAACACAGCAAGTATTAAATTAGACCTCAGGCGAGAAGAGAGCTTTCTGCAGTTCTAGACAAACTTTCCGGCTCGCCCGCACGTTGCCCTCCGCTGGTCTCACCTGCCGGGCTCGGCGGGGCGGCCGCGGGGCCCCGCGGGGCGCTGCAGCTCCATGTCGGCGGGGCGGCCGGGCCCGAGCGCGGCCGTGAGGCGGAGGCTGAGCCCGTGCACCAGCCGCCGCAGCAGCGTGTCCCCGCGGCCCTTGGGCACCGCCAGCCCCACGTCGTCCCGCAGCTCCTCGGGCGGCACCTCCAGGTTGCCCGCGTACCAGAACACCCACCAGATGAGGCTGAGGAAGATGCCGATGCCGCCCGCGTAGATGAGCAGGTCGGAGAAGAACACGTCGGCGAACACGCCCGCCAGCAGCACCGCCAGCCCCAGCGCGTCGAACGCCAGCGCCAGCCAGAAGGCGGCCACGCAGCGGCCGAGCCCGCCCGGGGCCGCCATCGGAGCGGCGCCGCCGCCTCGGGCCGCCCGCACGTGAGGGGAGGCGGGCGGGAGTGGCGGGAGGGCGGCGGCCACCTGAGGGCACGGCCGGGCCGAGCCCCCCGCACCTGAGGGCACGGCCGGGACACGTTCCCCCTCCCTGAGGGCACCGCCAGGCCCCGCCCCCGCCTGCACCTGAGGGGGCGCCCAGGCCACGCCCCCCACACCTGAGGGCACCTCCAGCTCCCGCCCCGGTGAGGCGGGAACGCGCTGCCCTCAGGCGGCCCCGCCGCCCCCGCGGTGGGTGCTGAAGGCGTTTGAGGTTGATCTGTAGCGACCGAAGGCATTCAGGGGCCGGGGCGTCCCTTGGAAGTGGCGGTCGCTGCCGCTTCCGTGTGCAGGTGAGACGGGCGCGGCTGGACCCGTTCAGCTCTTCCAGCCGGGGCAGCGTCCCCTCGCTCCGACACCCGGGAAAGGAGGCACTTCATAAAAGCTGCTCCCCAGATGAACACACTTTGTAGACCTCGACACTGGCAAGAGGAAGCAGCTGGTAGCAGACAGCAGAGATTTGCAAGAGTTTAACGTGCGTCTGCAAATGCACATAGACTCCTTTAACTCGGCGCTTGAGGCTTATAAAGAGCAGCTGGGATACAACTTCAGGGTGACAAACAGGAAGCAAGTTGTGGATGCAAGATGTAAAATTCAGCAGTTATGTAAAAGGCAAGACATGTATTTGGGTTCACCCTTGTGTTAGTTAATGACCTGGTACACACCTTTTAAGGCTCCCAAGTCCTCAAGCACCAGAACTTTATTTGGCTGCAGGATCTCTTGTAGTTGCTCTCACAAGGCCCTTATATATATAACAGTTTATTTAACGATGAGTAAGACACACAGTTCCAGTAACTAGAATATCAAGCTGACGGGAGGTCGGACAGGCTAAGAGCGCATGGAGCTTCCATGTTTTTGTGGAAGTACAGCATGCCAAGAATGATGCTGCTCCAATGACATTTAGTGTGACTACAGATTCCTTTCATAGCAGTTGGTTCACAATTGAAAAGTTAGAAAAGACACCAGTTACAAAAAGACACCACTAATGAAGCAGAATTTTTTCGTATTCTCTAGTTTCTTTTTCCACCTTTTGTTTAGCACCCACTTACTTCCTAGGTAGCAAACATATTGATATGGGAAGCCCTAAGGAGAGGGGATGGGGTTTTTTGAATGGCAAATTAGGCTGGTTACATCCTGTTGATTGATCTTGTCTCTTACCAACTTTTTCCTATTTGGATTTGAGTTTTTACAACCAGGACACTTCAACACAAATCTGCCTTGTATTCTCACTGAGAAGGACATAAAGTGATCATCATACAGAGAACAATTTGGTTGTTCTGTAAAATTTCAAATATATCACCTTTCAGTCCTGATGTATTTTTCATGCCATTACAGGATGGGCTGAGATGGGATGAGATGAGATGGGATGAGTTCTGGTAGCAGAAAAAAAGCCCACAAGTGAAGATTTTGCTTGATGTCAAAGTATAAATGGTTAAAGAAAATGTGTCTTGTGCTCTTTTTTTTTTTTTTTTAAAGACACAAATACTCCAGGTAAAAACAGCTAAAAATTACATTGTTTGGCTTGGTATCAGGCTGCTAACTTACAATATGTGTAGTAAGATCAATAAATGTCAACCTGTCTTCATTATATAGGAAAAAAAAATGGTAGCAGCTATTTTACCTTTAAAAGCACATGTAGACTGCTGCTTCTGGCATGCATGAATTCTTGCTTTGACCCTGTTTGTACTAAGCTATGCTTCAGGAAATGTCACTTACAGAATATTTCTGAGTTTTTTTTCCCTGGAATAGCCCCCTCCCTGCCTTTTGACACTTGCAGAATTTGAGTGCTTTTGATCTGGGCCAGGAAAAGATAAAAAGTGATAGGGCTGGTAAGACAGTGAGTTTATTTGTACCAGTTTGTAAATTAGAAGGAAACAAATGAATCGTTACAGATCTCGGTGGAAAAAAAGCCCTTGGGATGGGATTTCTTAAGAAGGTATTTCACTTCATGAATATATTTGTTTACTAAAAATACACCACTGAATGACTACATAAACTGCATTACAACAGACAACTCTCATGCTGACTGTGGCACCCGCCCTTTCTTGGGTGTTTGCTTCGATGGTTTTGAAGACTTCTTGACTGACTGTATCGATTTGCCAGCTTTGGGTGTTGCAAAAGACTTCACTTCAGGTTTTTTTGGAGTCTTTTTCATGTCTTTTTCTTTTATTGCTTCCTTTGGCTTGCTGACCTGCTTGGCTTTTTTCTGTTTTGGTGGTGTCTGCAAGTCTGCACACTCTCCTGCAACATCAGGTTTTGATTTTGGAGTCTCCGGAACTAGAGGTTGTTTCTTTCTCTTTCCGAGGGGTGTTTTGGTTTTCTTGCCCAAGTTGCCGCCTTTTTCTGGACCTGGTTCCATTTTCTGTATTTAAGACAGACAAAAAAATTACCCTTCCACCTAAGAAACACATTTCCTGTTCTTCAGGAAAGGAAAACCACGATAAATGACAAATGCTTTCTATCAATTGAACTGCGCCCTAGTCCATTTGAAGTGTGTTAACACACTCTGTTACCTAAGGAGCAATGAGCAGTTTAATACGTTCAAAATCTTTAGTTTTAACTGAAATATGAGTTTTCCAATATTATGAAGCAATTACCTCCATCTCAGCTAAACTCTTTGTTTGTATAGGGACCAGTTGTGGAATTTCTTCATCATCATGATCACCTGGTTCTTGGACTATTTCTGCTTTTTCTTTTACTGCAGGCTCCTGAGTAGCAGCAGCAGCTTTACTTTCAGTTGTCACAGTGACTTGACTTGACTTCATTTTTTTAGGTGTCTTCTTAGGTTTCTTGGTTTTTCCCTTCTAGTTAATCAGAAGTACATCTCAGACAAATCCCCATAACATTTCTAAATGTATAACAGTTTTAATGTGGTTAAAAATTAGATAGTGTAGCAACATTCAATTAAAGACCCTTATTCAGTAGACCCAGACTGATCAACCACATGTAAAATATGAAAAGATGCATTGCAGATTACTATAAATAACTCACAACTACAATAGTGTCAAGATTACAGTCTTTAAGTTGAATATTGATGTTCCACATTTACTTCAGACAAACTAACACAGCAGAATTCAGTACAAAGGAGTAGCCAATTATTATTTTTTATAAGTATAAGCCCCCCTATCTATACAAATATATGAGCTTCTGAATTATTCAGATGTCACTGATTAGCCAACAAAAAATAGATGCATAATCTGAAATCCACCTATATGTTAATGAGTGTATTTTTGGAAGTTCTAAGAATGAATCTCATCTCCCTTTAGTTTAGCACTAGAAACATTTACTTCCAGTTTGCTTTACAACCCATCAGGGAGTTTGCATAATTTCAATATTATTACTGAGTATCTGAAGCACTGAGGCACTGATGGCCTAAACCCATTTTTAGCCATAAATACCTGGGATCAACTGCTAAATGTTTAAACCCAACACTACAATGCATAAAAGGAAAACAAAGAACTAACTGCACCAATCTGACCTTATGCAAAGTTTGAAGAAATTTTGGTTTACCTTTTCTTCCTTCTTTTTGAGAGGTGGCTCTGTGTCAAGCTCATCCAGGTTGGAAATATTCGCAGTAAATATTGGAAGCGCGACTGATTTAAGTGTTTTGAGGTGAAGAATCTTCACATTTTTCCAATTCTGCAACAATAAAACCAGTACATTATGTAAAAATAACAAGGCTGAATAGGAACCCACTGGACTTTAATGCAGTCAATCAGCAGTACCTTTGGTAACTTCTTAGCAATCACTTTTGCTGTTGCAATGACATTTTCCATGATCTCATCCACTTTCATTCCAGTGTGACCTACACGTGCTGTACTGAAACAAGAGAAGAGTAATATTTATGTGTGGGCAAATAAACATACTTCAAGTTACTTGTATTTAGGCATCTATAATTTCCTTTACTGTCATAAAGGATGGATGGCTATAACAGAAGTCTTTTGTAATAGCAGTCAGAAGAGATTCACCTGTATTTACCTTTCCATATTTGGATGTGGAACTTCTGCCTTATATTATGAAGCATATTCAAAATTTAGATCCTTTTAGATATACAATACATGAAAAAAAATAGTACTAGCATATTTTGGAAATAGTTTTTATCTAATTTAACAGAAATAGAGTTCTCTAAGATTGTACATGCTGTTTTACAGTGAGAGGTGCCTAGAAATTCCTCTGGTATAAGTAAAAAAGAGACAAAAAGTAAAACTTTACAGTAAAATGTCTTAACTAGAACTACTGCTTTCTTTATATAGGTTAAGGTTCAAAATGGCCCATATTTGGAATGGTGACCCTTAACATCTTTTATTCACATATTAATAGAATAAAAAGAACTCACTTAAAATTCCTACACTTAAGGTACAACCATCCTTCAAGTGAAGTACTCGTGTATTCATACTTACTAACAGCACCCTTTGTTGTTAACTGGGAGTGTAGTCCCTTGGATATGCTTTTGTAGTTCATTAGCAAGATTTTTGGCTTTCAGGTTTACAGATAAAGGTGCCCTAAAAAAGAATGGGAAAGGGTTAAAAAAAAGGGAAATAATTAGAAACCCCCAAAACAAAGCCAACTCCCTGCTTTAGTAAGAATCTCATCCTAAAAAAGATAAGGAAAAATGGAGCTACACAATTTAAAGACCTACTTTTTCTTTTCATAGAAGTGTTTTCCTAGATGTGAGGGCAAGAGTCTCCTAATTCGGTTGTCAGATAAAAAGAGATCGAATCTGTTCAGGAGGCGACGCTTCGCTTCAAACATTTTATACTCCTTTTTGAGAGTCTTGTAGGAGATGATCTGCAATGCAAGTAACAGTTTAGTCCCCACTGCTAAAAATGCAGCCTAGAACGCTCCTTAGAACCGCACAGAGTCATTATTTTAGAATGCTGAAGACAATCAAAATGTACTGTACCCTTTTCCTATTGTTTTAAGAATCAAACAACAAGGATGTCTTGCATAGTAACTGAACTTGAGAACATGGTAACATCTAAATCAAGGTTAAACACAACAATAACATTATTTTATAGTTTTATTGCTAGTAGCATAAACAATCCAATCCAGCTGCAAAGGACTCAATTATTCAAGCATTTACTATACCATCAAACACCTCTCTTACCTGGCTAATACTTCTGATTCCATTCTGGATTAAAAGTTTCCTGTATAGATTTTCAGTCTGTTCTGCTGACAAATTTGGTTCATCCTTTGTGAAAAGGCAAACCTCAGCTGTTTCTGGTCGAATGCCATGGGGCAGTGGTCTACAATGAGGATATGAGACAGACAAAGAATGTCTAATAAGAG